GATCCAACTTGACTCAGAATATCTATCCTGTTAGAGGGCGCTGTTGTGTACTCTTAGTACATACAAAGTCCTTATTAAAAGTCAATAGCAAAGCAACAAATTTAGCATGCTTTCTTGAGCTTGGTAGGCTTCCACTTGCCATCTCAAGTATAAAGCAAATGCTGAAATATTGGATGCGATTAAACGACATGGATCATAATATATTAGTTCATGAAGCTTACCAGCTGGGCATACAGCTAGATGATGCAGGCGTACAAAATTGGGTAACAGGAATAAAAACCATCCTGAACTTTCTAGACCTTGGCGACGCATGGACACAATGTAAACATAACAGCAATTACAGTCTACTTCATCCAATCTTAGATAGACTCATTAAACATTTTAAAACAGTCGCTGAAAAAAGCATGTATGATGACAATAAATCTAAAAATCATAAAAACAAACTTAGAACCTACAGATTACTGAAAAAGGATTACACCTATGAAAAATAGTTAAAAATCCCAACCATCGGTCAGCCCTAACAAAACTACGTAGAAGTGCCCATACCTTACAGATAGAAATGGGGCGGTACAAAAATATTGACATTAACCATAGAAAATGCAAAGTCTGTGATCTTGATGAAGTAGAAGACGAGAAACACTTTCTGTTAAAATGCAAACTACACCAAGAGGAGAGAATTAAACTGTTCACTGAACATTATCCTCAGCTGGTGTAGCTGAGGAAAAAATCATGATAAAAATTCTCACCTCTACCGACAACAAAGAAATCACTGACTATGCAAAATACATTTTTAACTGCTTTAACCGCAGAGATATTACAACCATATTGAATGAAATTCAATTTAGGCGAATACAAATGTAAATCAAAGAAAGCTTAGAAAGAACTGCCGTGTGCTGAGAGTATTGGAGACACATTAAAAATTAATTCAAAATTACTTGAACTTGAGATGTTGATGGAAACGCAGAAAACTAATTAATTATGCAAATAAGATAACTAATATGAACAGATTTAAGTGTAAAACTAATAAGGTCTGCACAATGTACCAAGTTTCATTGAAATGAGATTAGAACCAAAAAAATGTTAATTTTTATGCTAATTAGAGAATTAATATGAACGGATTTTAACCCAAAATTAATCAGGCTGTCTATTGTCCTAGAGCATTTATGTACCAAGTTTTATTCAAATGTGATGATCAATACTTGAGATTTCAGTATTAATTAATTATGTTGATTAGGTGATTAAGAAGCATAAATATTTACCAAAAACTAATATGGTCCTAGGTTCATTGAAATGTGATGGGTATTCTTTAAAGTTTCATTGAAATTCAATGAGTGGTTTTTAGACATCAGTGCAACAGCCATAGAACAGCAAAAAATTTACTAATTATGGAAATTAGGTGATTAATAAGCACAGTTATTTATCCCAAAATTAATCAGGTCTCTGCATAGTCCTAGAATATCTATGTCGCAAGTCTCATTGAAATGTGATGATTAGCACTTGAGATATCTACTCGAAATATCAAAAGCTGAAAATTAATTAATTATGCAAAATAGGTAATTAATATGTACTGATATTACCCTAAAAACTATCTATGTACCAAGTTTTATTGAAATGTTATGATTAGTACTTGAGATATCAGTGGAAAAGCCGAAAATTGATTAATCATTATGTAAATTAGGTAATTAATAATATTAACAGATTTTTACCCAAAACTAATCAAATCTGCGCATTAGTTCAGAGCATCCATGTGCCAAGTTTCATTGAAATCCAATGAGTGGTTCTTCAAATATCAGTGGAACAGTCATGAAAC